ACAGACACATTTTGTCTGATGTTTCAAAAAATGTACAGTCCTGTTAACGGGAACGCATTTTTTCTAATACTGGGAAACTTTAGAAGGGGTACAGGACAACTAGAATCTATAACGATCATACCAAAAAAAGAAATAATAATATGTAAGAAAACATGGGAGACATCTGTGGGAACCAGTGTGGGCGGGTCCCAGCTCAAAATTGTCCAAAATGACGTGCGCTGACATGCTGCAATACCACCCCGGGCCTGTGGGGGTGGACCCGGAATAAGAATTAGCCAATGCTAACATATAGCATTAGCTTACCTCTCAAAAACGTCTTTACAGGATGGTCCAAAAGTTGGCTCTTGGCCCAAAGCTCCGTTCCACATGTGTGTCAATGCTGAGGGGGGTGTTCTGGACCAGTCTAGTTTAGTCGCTGTGAATTTTTGAAGTCATTCGTTTAAATGAATGGGGCTCGTGCAGCTGACGCATGCGCAGATGTGTTTTTTCATCATTTTGAATCACTCCATGAAAGCCCAATTTTTGGCCCATTAGTTAGAACGGCGGAGATAGGCGTGACTACGTCTGTTAGTCTATGGTGTGAAGCCAGGTCGCTGTACAGGAAGTGTCCTGGATTCAGGAGCTGATGAAGCCATTCTGCTACTTTGGCGCCCAAAGGGTAAACTCTATGATAATCAGTCTGTCCTTTCAAAGTACCTACTGCATTTTTATACCAACAATCGCTGCTGCTACTGCTACTGTTGCTACTACTGCTGTTGCTACTACTGCTGCTGCTGCTGCTGCTGCTGCTACTGCTGCTGCTGTTACTGCTGCTGCTGCTGCTGCTGCTGCTGCTACTGCTGCTACTACTGCTGCTACTGCTGCTACTACTGCTGCTACTGCTGCTACTACTGCTGCTGCTGCTGCTGCTACTGCTGCTGCTGCTGCTGCTGCTGCTGCTGCTGCTGCTGCTGCTGCTGCTGCTGCTGCTGCTGCTACTGCTGCTGCTGCTGCTGCTACTGCTGCTACTACTGCTGCTACTGCTGCTACTGCTGCTACTGCTGCTGCTGCTGCTGCTGCTACTGCTGCTACTGCTCCTGCTGCTACTGCTGCTGCTACTGCTACTGCTGCTGCTGCTACTGCTACTGCTGTTACTGCTGCTGCTGCTGCTATTGCTGCTGCTGCTACTGCTACTGCTGTTACTGCTGCTGCTGCTGCTATTGCTGCTGCTGCTACTGCTACTGCTGTTACTGCTGCTGCTGCTGCTACAACTCAAAGTACAGACACCATTTGATATATTTCGTGAACTCCTTTCTTTTCTGCTTACATAACTCCAATGCCATTTCAAATTTATTTCTGAAAGACAAGCATCTTGAGCTAATTCCCCTCCTCGCGCCATGACAACCATAATCCCTCTCTGCCGTTCACACAGATTAGCAGCTTTCACAAGATTTTTTACATCACGCACTCCTTTCCCTGTCTCTGTATTGTACTGGGGGGAAGATAAGCTGCCAGCCACAACAAGACACTAAATGTGGGACGGCAAATCTGCAGTTTCCCAGTTTAGCAATCATTGCATGTGAATGAATATTTGTCCAATTTCATACGGCAAAGTCTAGAATATGGCGAGGATCCAAACCTCCAGAGCAGACGTGAGATAAACATGGGATTTTTGCAGCTAAGACGCATGTTTGGACGAGCGGGCACTTTGGCTGAGGCGGTGACGAAAGTGAGACAAGACATGCTTTTCGTGTTTACAGCCCGCGATGACAGATGAGGCCCTTTTACTCAAAGGCAACACTGTTTTCTTATGCCTCGTTTGTGTAGAAAGAGGACTCGGGAGCTATGGAATGTAACGAGTGGAGTTCATTGGAGTTGCCAAAGATACAACAAAAAAAAAAAACACAAATATATCTATGTAGCAAAACGGTTAAAGGCCTGGTTGTGTGGAAATCTGAATGACATTGACCTCGAATCAATAGATGTTCTCTTTATTATTCATTTCCTTTAGAAAAACAGCACAAGGAGCACTCATGCTTTAGAGTACAAGTTCAGAATAGTAGACTTAGAAGGAATTTTTATTTTTATTACTGTTATTTTCTAACAAATCGGCACAAACATAGCTTCTATCTCAAACTTGATATGATAAATCCTTAGAATTATAATATTATAACTGCTGCTAACAATAATGTGATCACTGAGGGACCTGCTAAACCAAAGTAGTTTGATCATGCCATTTTTAAGATTACTAAAATAGCAGTAATTTCCAGGGCTGTAATTAATGATGATATCGATAATTGAATAGATGTAGATTTTAGTTTTGAATCTTGTTTGCACTGAGAACCAAAGCACTGTCCTAGTTTGTGACTTTTTGAACCTCTCATGGAAATAAAAATAATTCTGATCCTGACGTCTGCTGATTTTTTTTTTTTTTTTCAACTAATCTTTTCGTTGTTTAGATTAGGAATGAGAGTATGGGATTTTTGTTTTTTCATTCAATCAAAACAAAATATCTTCACAAATCATCACAAAATACTTTTATGGCAGGTTTAAATATGTATGTGTGGGTAAATGATCTATCAATGAATCAACCAAATCTACCAAAAGGATTGCCAAGTCCATAAAGACTCGTTTTAATTATTTGATCAACTTCTTAGAATCATTTCCCAGTTATACATATTTCACCATTGTAGGTCCTTACCACAATGTGTTATAAATAGATAGATAACTTTATTTGCAGACTCAAGGTCCAGATCAACACAGACAAAAAACAAAACAAATAAAATATACAGACAATAAAAACCTCTAAACTTTCAAGAGGCAGTCAGACCAGTGTTTCCAAAGCAGCGACTGTAACGCACCTCGCTGCACACAACACTGGACAATAAAAAAATCACAGCACTTTTTAATTGTTCAAGCGACATATAAACTTAAACATCACATTTTAAGGTGGCGCCGTGGCAAGAGCTCTGGTGTGTGTCGTCTGGTGCACACTGGGGTAGTCTGGCACAGTTTTTCCAATGTGGTTTTACTGCAAATGGCAAATAAATGAATCTGAATCTGATTTCTCAAGACAGCAAGTAATCTTTATTTACAGTATATACCGCCTTTTCACTGCAGATCTGAGTCTCAAAGCGGTTTACGATTGTTAATTTTTTTTGGGGCATTTGTCTCTCACTCCACACAGAGATGGGAGCGGGGTCGCCAGTACAGGAGGCGCATGCCAGAACTATTGTTCAACCTGGAGAGACTACAAGAGACGAGATGCGTTTAAGAGTTGTTTATTTTATGGATTGAGTTTGTTTATTGGTTTGGAGCTTAGGCCCCGGCTGTGGCCGTGCTCTGGAGAGATCTGCGCCTGGGTGCAGATCATGATCCCCCGGGGCCTAGACACTGGTGGTGGCAACAAGGCAAGGTGAATGTGAGAGTGAAGAAATCCTGAGGCGGAGGTGGGGAGGAGGTGGTTGCAGCTTGAAGTCCGTTTGGTGAGCTGTGCTCTGCTTTGCTCTTAAACGCTGGCTTGATTGACACGGCTGCGGGGAGTTGATTAAGACAGGCTGAGTAAGGCGTGGTTAAGCCTGGTGTGATAACGTAGGTAGTCTACCATACTGAACCTCCGCTTAAGCTCCATTTCAACCTGGAGAGACTACAAGAGACAAGATGCGTTTAAGAGTTGTTTATTTTATGGATTGAGTTTGTTTATCGGTTTGGAGCTTAGGCCCCGGCTGTGGCCGTGCTCTGGAGAGATCTGCGCCTGGGTGCAGATCATGCTCCCCAAAAAGAGAGCTTGGCTAGCGATGCGTTTGCCATGACTTGGTTGCTGCGTTTATGGAAGGCGCATGGTGTGAGTGACTGTTTCCATGCGCGAGCTCGGCTCTAGCGCTAGGCGTTGGCACGCGCTCGGCGTAATGTCCGTGCGCGAGCTCGGCTCTAGCGCTAGCACGCGCACGAGCTCGGCTCAAGTGCTCGGCGTAATGTCCGTGCGCGAGCTCTGCTCTAGCGCTAGGCGTTGGCACGCGCACGAGCTCGGCTCGAGTGCGCGGCATGCTGGAAATGAGGAGTTGCCACCACCAGGAGATGCATACGTACTTATATGAGAGGAGGCGCTGGGCTGCCAGAACGGATGAATGTGGTAGAGAACCAGGGACCAAGCTCCTGGAGAGATGATTGAGGGAGTCCCAGGGCAGCAGCCCAAGTGGCTGCTCCTATCCGGAAGGAGTGGCGGGTGTAGAGAAAGGAAGAGAGGTTACCTGCAGGGAGCAGAGGTTTTGAATTTGTTCAGACCAGGGGGTCGTCGAGGGATTGTTTAAGGAGTAATTATAGTCTATGAATGTTGATAAAATGTCCATAGATGTTGTAGAATGTTAAAGTATCCTGGATCATCACCACGGGCCTTCTAGTTGGACACTAACTGTCCAGACCCTCCTGCATGGCAAGGAAAACTCACAAAACCCTGTGGGGAAAAAAGTGAGAAACCTTCGGAAGACCCTACATAGAGAGGGAGTCCACTACACGGACAGACAGGCTAGTCGTCCAGGACCTAAACTACAGAACAAGGACCATTGCCAATACTCCTTTAGGGATCTTCTTATGAGGGTGGAGCAGTGTGACTCGAAGTGGATTTTAGAGAATGTATTTAATGCCGATGTAGATGAGGCAGTGACAGCAGTACCCGCGATGCTGATGTCCAGAGACTGAGAGTGTGCAGTGAGAGGGAAAGGAGAATGCTGAATGAAGGATGAACTGCTGGTGTTTAGAGCGCTGATATTCGAACATGATTCCACTTGGGGAGACTAGAAGGTGAAAATGAGATTCATGAAGTACACTTACCCAGGAAGATTGATGTTCGATAGGAGATCTCTGGACCCCCAAAAACCAACGCACGAGGGCCCGGTCAGAATGAGGGCCAGGGTGCGTCAGGTAAGGCGAAGCGTGAGACAGGCCCGGCGGCAGGAGCCGCACCAGGAGACCAGGAGAGAATATGCCTGGGGAACATGAGAAGGAGCACCGCCTACAGCCACTCAGAGTGCACACAAACCGTGGCGGGCAGTGCTGCACACCAAAAGCCAATGAGTGCAAGCGAGCTGCGTTGTTGATGCGTGCGCCATCGTTGATGCGTGCTGCGTCAAAGCGTGCTGCGTCAAAGCGTGCGCCATCGTTGAAGCGTGCTGCGTCAAAGCGTGCTGCGGCGTAGCGTGCGGCGTTGTTGAGGCGTCAAGGCGTGCGCCGCCCAAGCGAGCGCCTTCGTTGATGCGTGCGCCTTCGTTGATGCGTGCGCCGTCGTCGATGCGTGCGCCGTCGTCGATGCGTGCGCCGTCGTCGATGCGCGCGCCGTCGTCGATGCGCGCGCCGTCGTCGATGCGCGCGCCGTCGTCGATGCGCGCGCCGTCGTCGATGCGTGCGCCGTCGTCGATGCGTGCGCCGTCGTCGATGCGTGCGCCGTCGTCGATGCGTGCGCCGTCGTCAATGCGTGCGCCGTCGTCGATGCGTGCGCCGTCGTCGATGCGTGCGCCGTCGTCGATGCGTGCGCCGGGGGCGATGCGTGCGCCGGAGTCGATGCGTGCGCCGGAGTCGATGCGTGCGCCGGAGTCGATGCGTGGAGGAGGAGTCGATGCGTGGAGGAGGAGTCGATGCGTGGAGGAGGAGTCGATGCGTGGAGGAGGAGTCGATGCGTGGAGGAGGAGTCGATGCGTGGAGGAGGAGTCGATGCGTGGAGGAGGAGTCGATGCGTAGAGGAGGAGTCGAAGCGTGGAGGAGGAGTCGAAGCGTGGAGTCGTCGAAGCGTGCGGCCACCGAAGAGGCGTCGTCGAAACGTGCGGCCACCAAAGTGGCGTCGGCGAAGCGTGTGGGCGTTGAAGTGTGCGGCCGCCGACGTGTGCTGCGATGAAGCGTTGAAGGGAGGCCGTTGAAGCATGCCTGAAGGCCAACGCACTGGTTAAAACGAACAGTACAGAGGGGCTCGGCCGCGCTCCGACCAATCAGAGCAGCTCATCAGACACGGACAGCCGGGAGGCAATGCAGTGGGCAAAACTTACAGTCCACGGTCAAATAGACAGCGCAAAGGCCAATGCAGACGACAAATGTTATAGTCCATGGTTACAACTGACAGCCTGAAGGTCAATGCAGTGGGTAAAATGTTCATCCCATGAGTAAACGGACAGCCAGAAGGCCAATACAGTGGTTAAAATGTGCGGTCCATGGTGAAAACGGACGGTCTAAATGCCAATGCAGATGGTAAAACGAACAGCCTGCAGAGCAATGCATCGGGTAAAAACACAGCCTGCGAGCCAATTCGGCGGGATTAACTGACACGCCGCAGTTCAGTACTGTTAATGGTAGTGCGGAAAACAACAAAACCGACACTGTACCGTGAGTGGAGGCAGGGAGAAGGGTGGACAGAGGCAGCAGACAACGGCAGGCAGACAGAAGTCCCGTTCCCGGTATGGAAGCGGCAGGGTGCGCGGAGCCTGGCCGCGAGCAGCAGCGGCCACGGGGAGACGAGCTGCAGCGAGTCCGCAGGAGAGGAGCCGCGGTGGAGACACAGCGATCATGGCGCGCAGCCCCCAACATGTGATGTTGAAGAGGAGCCGCGACCATGCAGGACGAACAATGTGCGAGGCGTGAGTAAACAAAGTGACGAAGAGCAACCCATTGCAGCTTGAAGTCCGTTTGGTGAGCTGTGCTCTGCTTTGCTCTTAAACGCTGGCTTGATTGACACGGCTGCGGGGAGTTGATTAAGACAGGCTTAGTAAGGCGTGGTTAAGCCTGGTGTGATAACGTAGGTAGTCTACCATACTGAACCTCCGCTTAAGCTCGATGACATATTTTTAGTGGTAGGGGAAACCGGAGTACCCGGAGGAAACCTACGCAGACATGGGGAGAACATGCAAACTCCACTCAGAAAGGCCCTGGTCTGACCGGGATTCGAACCCAGGACCTTCTTGCTGAGAGGCGAGAGTGCTATCCACTCAGCCACAGCTTGCAAGAGTTCACTGGCTCTTGTCCATCGGGGCTTTTTTAATAACCTTCTCAGCGCATTATTGTAAGCAGCTGTAATGGTGCTTTCAGACCGGACCATGCTGCGTCGGGTTTCAATGCAAAGTCTACGGTGGCGAGCGTTCGACCGTCACAACGCACGGACCTCTCGGCACGCACGAACGGACTGTTCAGTAGACACGCACGGACTTGGCGGGAAAGTCAAAGGGAAGGAGCAGGAGCGAAAAATGGACGCCCACAGGAGATGGATTCTGCTCATCCTTTCCTTGGGACGTTCGTGCGACAACCAATCAGAGAGCAGCAAAGTGGTCACGGGGACATTAGCGGACTGAGCGAGCAGACTGAAAATACTCGTAAACTGAAAGCTGGACTTTTTGTACTTGACCCACAGATGAGCTGTGTACAGAGGTGATGTATATAAATGTTAAGTATGTTAGGTATAAATGTTTATCCATAATTTTCCATTTTTCATTCTCATAAAAATAAAGAAATCCAAAGGAAACCACCTCCACTCCTCGATCAGAGCAAAAGTCTTCAGAGGAGAGTTCTTTGGAGGCAACATCTGTGACTTTATACACAGTGGGTTTTTAAATGCATGTACAGTTGATCAGATCTAATTGAATGTGTTTACATTTTGCTGAGAAAATGCCTCCACAAAATTTTCAATTTCTCTTGATGAGAATATAAACGCACTGTAAAAAAAAATCTGTAAAATGACAATGACATTTCAACATTAAACAAATGTTATTTTGAAAAACAATTCAAAAAAGCAAATTTAAGTATAAATTGGTAACAAAATATCCAGTGGTGTTTTATTACCACAATTATAATGTGATTAGAAAAAAACCTTACAAACCATGGAATGCTGGGAAATTTTTGCTAGCAAGTATACACTCCTGCTGTTTTTAAAATTATGCTTTTGCGTTAAGTTAAAGAAGTAAAGATTTCAACTATTTTCTCGTATAAACTGAAGATGTTAAAAAAATATTGAAAAGTTGTGTTCATTAAAGGAAAACAAAATTAAACTTTTTTTTTGTTCAATTAAACTAATTAGAAACAGAATCAGTTATATGTGTAATAATACAAAATTAACCTTATAGTGCTGCTTTTGTTGTAGTGAATTATCAGGAACAGTTAAATCCTGAAATCACAAAGACATCATGTGATTCAGTAAAACAGTCTTTAACCGTTAAAATTAGCAACGGCAATGCCATGTTGAGAAAACTGTAAATCCCTGGAACCATATTTGCCAGCTTTTTACCGTTTTTCTACCGTTTTTCTTTACAGTGTGGGTGTTTTTGAGTTCTTTCACTTTGTCGGGCGTCCTGGGGTTTGGAGGTCAGTGGAGAAAAGGTTATCAGCCCTGTGGATCTGCAGCTCCAGCCATGAAGAGCTGCTTCTGAAGTTTACTCACGGCTTTTACACACCTGACCCACAAAGAGCCATTCAGGGGAAGAGAAATATTTTAGAAACGTTTCTGAGGAATATGTGACGAGAAAAAAAAAAAAAAAAACATTCAATTGTAAACGTTAAAGTTACAATAAACAAAAAGCAGATGATCTAGTTTAGAGTTATATAAAACTTGATAGCAGTTGAACAACATTTTCTACTTGCAACTAATAGATATGAAAACCTTAATTTGTCCCGCCGTGACGAAATAAAGGTTCTTATAATGAGATATACTTCACAATGAATGTCACAGTGGAAAAAATCAAGCTGAACTGTTTGATTCAACTGATGTAAATTATCTTTCATTGTCCTTGGAAGTTCAGGTGCGAGGCCATGCAGAGACTTGTACAGCAGCTTTAGGCCCTGTCCACACGAAGTCAAGCTCAGGCCTAAACGCAAACATACTTTATCAATCCAGTGTATCGTCCATACGAGGCCGGCGTTTTGGGGGGGTGTAAACGAACATTTTTGAAAGTAGGTCCCAGAGTGGAAAGATTTCAAAACTCCGTATATGCCGCTCCGTGGTTACTGCCTCTCCGCAATGTATCTGAGACGCTTGCGTCATCGCCCCACCTCTTGTTAAAGCACGCATGTGCCGCACTCAGAAAATAATGACAACAACAATGTAGCTTGTTGGTTTTGTAATCCAGTGTGACCCGAAGCAACAGTTCAACCTCATCGTCCGTCCATACTAATGTAGTACCAGCTCGCCCACTCGCCATGTTGTCTGTTTACAAAATTCCGCGCATGCCCAGTTCCCGTCACGGAAGTTTGGGCTTGATCCCGTCATTGCGTCACAGCGCCACCAACAGGTCTGGCATAGTTTCACAGCGTTTTCAGGCGTATTGACTACATTCATATGGACGCACACATTTACTGAGCTAACTCCGTGTTTACAGAAAAAGTTTCTGAAATTATAAGCGTTTTGTCTTCGTGTGGATATAGAGTTAAAGTCTATGCTCTGAGCCACAGGAAGCCAGTGCAGAGACCTGAGGACTGGACTAATGTGGTCATACAAGAATCATCTCTAGAGAAAGAAGGCTGTGACACCGGGTAGAAGTTTTGTTAAGGGCTTAAGAGTACAGGATGCATTTCCAAATGGTCAAAGCGTGAGTTTAAGCTTCATCTATTAGGGACAAAAATTATGGCTGCACCAGATTTAGCAATATACTTTCTGTCTGTAGTCCTTGACAATACAATCATATAACATACATATTCAAATACAGTTGAATAAAAAGTGCAAGGTACCACCCAGTGGGGGCGGGTCCTGGCTCAAAAGTGGCCAAAATGACGTGCGCTGACATGCTGCAATACCACCCCGGGCCTGTGGGGGGGGACCCAGAATAAGAATTAGCCAATGCTAACATATAGCATCTTCTTACCTCTCGAAAACGTCTTCACAGAATGGTCCATTTACTTTTAAATGTTTAAATGGACTGGCCCCCTCCTAGCTCTGTGATCTTATTCTGCCCTATGTTCCCTCTCGCGCCCTGAGGCAGATCAGCTGATGCTGGTGGTCCCCAAGACACAGCGTAAGCTTCGTGGTGACCGAGCTTTTTCTGTCGCAGGTCCACGTCTTTGGAATCAGTCCCATTGAGATCAGACAGGCTCAGTCTCTGCCTGTTTTTAAGTCACTTCTTAAAACTCATCTTTTTTCATGAGCTTTTGATAATGTTTGATTTTAGGTAATATTGTTTTATATATGTATTTTTTAGTCATTGTGTTTGTTTTTGTGTACAGCACTTTGGCTGAACTGTAAAGTTTTTAAAGTGCTTTATAAATAAAGCTGGTATGGTATGGTCCAAAAGTTGTCTCTTGGCCCAAAGCTCCGTTCCACATGTGTGTCAATGCTGAGGGGAGTGTTCTGGACCAGTCTAGTTTAGTCGCTGTGAAATTTTGAAGTCTCTCGTTTAAATGAATGGGGCTCGTGCAGCTGACTCATGCACAGATGCGTTTTTTCACATTTTTCAACCCCCGCTGCCATTTTAAATCACTCCACGAGAGCTCAATTTTTGGCCGATTAGTTAGAACGGCGGAGATATTCGTGACTACAACCGTTAATATTTACAGTCTATGGTACCAGCACATAAAATAACATTAAATGAAAAAGTTACCATCATAGCAACAGTATTCATTGTGGTAGATGGCAGAAGTATTCCACTGCTGCATGTGGATCCATACACGGCAATTAAATGATTTAATTTGAGACAAAGAAAAACATATGAATGTAATTTTTGAGCACTTGAGATGAGATTTTTAATATAAGTTCCTAAGACTTCTTTAACCTTTTCTTGATTGTAACAACCCTTGAATGTTTTGAACCCTTTTGAATCACTCCACCTGATTTCAACCACCCAGCAGGCAGACAAAGAACGACTTTCTCTCAAATTAATCTCTCAAAATTACCAGACTTAAATACGCGCTTTGTGACATCAGATTTTAAAAGTCATGCGTCATCTTCTCCCAACTTTTGATTAAAGAGTTCCTAATCATTCATCAAAGTCAGATACCGACTTTTTGAAATTAATCCATCTCTTTGGTTGCCACAACAGGTATTATGTGATGCAACTTCAAAGGTCAACTAGTCATTCTACACGTACGGTAATTTACTTCTAGTACAAACGTATTATGAAGTATGTCTGTTGGTATGGATTTTCCCCCTTATCTGATGTCCATGTCCCCCCTTCCATGGGGGCTGGTCTGCTCCTGGCTGACCCCCCTGACCAATCCAGTGGAACCTGGGAGTGACCTCACAGCAGTGTATAGAGAGCTGGGACTAGTTTGGGCTCTTGGTCGGTGTAAACTCTCTAAGCAACATGTAGCAGCCTAATACTGAGACCCAGAGCCTCCAGGGTTCTCTCTCTCTCTCTCTCTCTCCAACCATCTCTCTCTTTGAGGTATGATATTTTCTGTTTTGTCTGTGTGTATCTTGTTATAATTCAGTGTCATTAAATGTTTGGGCCTAGTACGTACAGCAACGATGACATTTTCATGATAACAATGGCTCTATGCTGGTGAGGGTAATAATGAAGACATGTTAGAAGCCTTTGGTATGAAGCCATAATGCAGGCATGTCAAACTCAATTTTTGGCGGCCCCTAAAATGGTTTTCTATAATTATTATTATTAATTTGCAGCATTGATGGTTATGGGCTACCAAGGCATGTTATTATATTATGTTATATATTATCTACAGTATCTATTTATTATAATGTAATTCCAACACATTATTAGGAGTTTAATGGTTAAATATAAAACAATGTGTTTAACTTTATATTCTGTATATATTGTTGTTTTTGGGGGGGGGGGAATAATTGTGAAACTCATGTCAAATAAAAGTAATCTCAAAATTCTTTCATAATGTAAAAAAAAACTACATCCCCTCCGGTTCCTATTTTTGATATTATTTGGCCACACAACTGCCATAATGTCTATACTTTTATTGTTAATTTTTTGTTCTATCTCTAACCTGGAAAGTCCCATTGAGAGGGTCCTGACCCCAGAGAGAAGGGACTATCGCACATGTTTTTAAGTGGTAGAAGAAACCGAAGCACCTGGAGGAAATCTACGAAGACACGGGGAGAACATGCAAACTCCACACAGAATGGCCAACCATCGAAACCACTGAAATGACACGCACATGGAGCAGCGGAATGGGGTGCTCTGTGCAAATGTGGCCGGACTAAATGTAAGTGAGGTTTTATATACAGAACAGTCTGCTTGTGTGCTCAGTCATGGCACAATAAACACCAGCCTCGTCTGATAATTCAAATGAGAGTTTTCATCGATAAACCAGACAGAACTTCAGAGCAGCTTATTATATTGTTTTATACGTGGCCGTTTCTCCTCCACAGTTTATCTCTGCTTTTTAAGAGGGAGGTCTCTGGCACTCTGACTTGAAGGTCCTTCTCCAAAAGGGCAAAGATAAAGTCTGCTAAATAGTAGCAAAATGTCAAGAGATGCATAAAAATGTGCTGCTCAGAATGAAAACAAAGAAATTATGGGGGCTGGAGGTGACATTAAGCACTGGCGGGTTAGGTTATAAAGATTTAGGCAGAATAAACTGTTAACCAAGAACTAGACGCTGATCAAGTGGCGTTTGAGGCACAAGGGA